AGAACATTTCCATAGAGCAGAGAGCTGTGATGGACAGCACTGCCCAGAGTGGTGTTCTTTGAGGACCACACCCACTGCCCAGAGACCAGGACTCGACTTGTGTACATCGTCTCCTTTCCATGGTCGATGTGGAAGGCTTGCTTCTGTTGATGTCTTTTAAAAAATGTTTTAATGTCTTTTATTATTACTCTCTCCCATATTTTGGCCAAAAATATGTGTATTCATTTATTTTACATTGTTTTAATTGACAAAAACTGTGTATATGTATGGTGTACAACATGATGTTTTGATTTATGTATACATTGTTTAATGGCTTATTCAAGCTAATTAATATGTGCATTACCTTACATATTTATCATTTTTATATGGTGAGAACACAAAGTCTGTTCTCTTAGTAATATTCAAACATACATTGTTATTGATGATAGTCACCATGTTGTACGATAGATATCTTCAACTTATTCCCCCTGTCTAACCAAAATTTTGTATCCTTTGATTGTGGCTTTTTTCTTTTTTTACATTCAACTCTTAAGAAATATAATTAGGGTTGTTTGGCAACAGAGCAATGCTTAGCATATTTTCACAGTTGCTGTTAAAAGCATGGCCAAACCACAGAAGCCTCAGTGCTGCCAAAGCCTATCTATTTGGTCATATTTATTTTGACTTATGTCCGTTGTACGCTAACCTTTCTTGTAAAGAATGTTGGAGTATTCCCAAATTGTTGACAAATTCCCTTATTTTCTGTTCCGACTCTAGATTCCACTGTTGGCCAGTAGGTGGAGATTGGATCTTTCTTAATGCCTTAATACCATTTTAAATTCAGATTTCTTTGCAATGGATAATCAAGCATTTTCCTCAAAAACTTTAAAACATTTCTCACGAGAGGTAAAAACAACCCACAGTTTCAATTCTCTGTAGTTGTCCAATAAAAAGGGACAGGATAAAAGTACTAAATTATTTCCCTGCAATGTTTCCATATGGCAACCCTCTAGCCCACGGGGACAAGCTTCACGGCTCAGCTCAGCGGTGGGAATTCTGAGTTAACTCACAGCTTTATGGCTGTACTGGGACCACACCATGTTTGCAGGATTCTTGACCAAACAGAAAGTCAACGGAGACCTCCTTTCTTGTCAAACTCTATTAATAAGTTAATCTATTGGTTCTTTTCATAAAGGAGAGGGTGAAACGTTCAGGACTCCAAGAGTCAGACAGTCAAAATGGTTTTTAAAGTACGTCCATTTTACTAATAACTCAAGATAACAAAGTGATCATCAGGTGTTATGAACACCGGTTTCTCACCCTCTGCTGCTGAGGTTTGCTTGTTTGTGTGTTTCTTTCTTCTCAAAAGCCCAAATAGTGCAGCCCCTCTGAGGCAATGCACCTGTGGGAGGCTCGTTCGCAGTCAGATTCCTTGGATGTAAAATCCCGTGTGTGCAGAATAGACTGTACCTCTCCCTTTTTGGGCAAAGATGATCGACAACGGAAATATCAAATGACAACTTCCCTTTCTCATTTGGGGCACTGAGAGATGGGCAGCCCCGACTCTCTCCAGGAAATATCATAGAATAGAAACCTCGTATAATTTCTCATGGCAGAAAGGAACAGTTATATACTGCTGGTGGGACTGTAAACTAGGACAACCTCTATGGAAAGTAGTATGGAGATACCTCAAAGAGCTAAAAGTAGATCTACCATTTGATCCAGCAATCCCACTCCTAGGTATTTAGCCAAAAGAAAAAGAGACATTTTATAAAAAAGACACTTGCACTTGAGTGTTTATAGCAACAGAATTCACAAT